GCAGCCCAGCATCCAAGTGACCCAGTGATTGGCGAATCAAGAGACTCAATTTAGGCTTTAAAAAAAGTGAATCCTAGGACTTTTATAGCAGCTCCCAAAAGAGGTTCTCTCCCTCAGCCAGATGGTTTAGTCCAAAGGCACAGTGAGGCCAGCACTGCAGCCAGTTTACTATCCTGACAGTATAGACAGGAGCGTCACCATGTGGAGCCCAGGGCTGAAATAAGATTGCTGAAGGTAAAGGTGAAAGATGGCAAGAAATTGGGTCCTTGGTGACTTTATCTGAACTCCCAGAGGAACTCTTTCCTGAAGCCAGACCTATGCCTCATCTCAGCTGTATGGGCTAATAAATTCCATTTAATTGCATAAGCCATTTATTTAAGTTGGCTTTTTTTGTCACCTGCAACTAAAAAAAAAAAAATTCCTCACTTATATAACTGTCAACTCCCTCATGCAGTTTGTTTTCTTGCTATTATTGTTTTATTTTGTGTTTATTGTAGAAAGCTAGCCATACTCTGTAGCACAGAATTATCATGCAAGGTCCTTCTGTTGAATTATTAGCACACACTAGCAGCACACACTAATTATAAGCTTGTGTACCTGGCCCTGTTCTAAGTAACTCACATATATGAACACATTTAACCTGCACAATAATGCTGTAGAATTAGTACTATTGCTATCCCCATTTTATAAATGAGGAAACAGACACAGAGTAACTTGCCCAAGGTTACACATAAGTGTATAAAGCCAAGATGTACTACCAAGGCAAACTGGCTCCTAAACCCATGCTCTGAATCACCACAGTACATCAAAAAGACCACACTACTCCATACTAACATTTGGTATTGTCCAACTGTTAGGTAGAAAGATAGACATGAGAAGCCAGGGAAGGGGAAAATAAGGTTCAAGAAAAAACTGCCCAGGCTCTGCCCACATAGGGGGTCCCATGCAAAGAGAACAAAGGCTTTGCAAGGAGTTAACTTCTTTCCCTACTGGGACCAGGCTAAAGTGGTTCCAACCTGATTCCAGAGTGGGTGCAATCAAACAAAACTAAGAACTGCCCAAACCACATGTCATCATATAATTGTGGTTTTGTGCACCTCCTGTCAATGGGCTTTTCTGCATGCATTTTGGGAAACGACATGAACACCAAGAGGAATGGGTGTGTAACTAGAACTGTTGATCAGGGAAGTGACTCCCAGAGAGGTGGTAATATAATATATAGACCCTCCCCTAAAAGTTGGGCTTTTTTGTCTACCTTGACTCTGGCCTGCTCCTCCCTTGGAGTATATTCAAATAAACATCCTTAACTACTTGCTTCACTACTGTGTCTCTGCATTTCAGTTCTTTTTTTCTGCAGGGACAAGAACCACAGAGAACAAACTCAGCCCATAACACAACTGTCTAATTTTTGCCACTTTGATGAGTGGAAAGTACTATTTACCACTCATTATGTAACTTTGGACAAATTACTTAATACTGATTTCATAGTGTTGTGATTTTGAGCATCTTCTCCCTACTTGTGAGCTATTTGGGGTTCCTTTTTTGGGAATTGCCTGTTTATACCCTTTGCCCATTTTTCTATTACGTTTCCTGTCTATTTCTTATTGATTTGCAGGGATTGAATATATATTGCAGTTATGCATCCATGTCAGTTTTAGATATTGAATATCTCCTTCTAATCTATCATTTTTCCTATGGTGCTATTGATTGAATAGGAAGCTTTTTCTTTTATTAAGGTATCCTTGATTACAACCTTATGAAGGTTTCACATGAGCAACATTGTCGTTACTACATTCACCCCTATTAGCAAGCTCCCTCACATACCCACATACCCATTACAGTTACCATCCATAAGCATAGTAAGATGCTACAGTCACTACTTGTCTCCTCTGTGCTATACTCCCTTCCCCGTGTCTGCCCTACATTATGTGTGCTAATCATAATACCCCTTAATCCCCTTCTTCCTCCTTCCCCACCCCCCTTCCCTTTGGTAACCGCTAGTCCCTTCTTGGGGTCTATGAGTTCTACTGCTGTTTTATTCCTTCAATTTTTGCTCTGTTATACTCCACAAATCAGTGCAATCATTTGGTACTTGTCTTTCTCCACCTGGCTCATTTCACTGAGCATAGTACCCTCTAGCTCTATCCATGTTGTTGCAAATGGTAGGATTTGTTTTCTTATCGCTGAATAATATTCCATTGTGTATATGTACCACATCTTCTTTATCCATTCATCTACTGATGGACACTTAGGTTGCTTCCATGTCTTGGCTATTGTAAATAGTGCTGCTATGCACATAGGGGTGCATCTGTCTTTTTGAATCTGCAATCTTTTTTTCTTCAGGTAAATTCCTAGAAGTGGAATTCCTGGGTCAAATGGTATTTCTATTTTTAGTTTTTTGAGGAACCTCCATATTGCTTTCCACAATGGTTGAACTAATTTACATTCCCACCAACAGTGTAGGAAAGGAAACTTTAATTTTTATATAATCAAATCCATCAATTATGCCCCAAATATAGAGATAATAAGGATATGAAAAACATTGTTTGTGCCCTAAGCAACTTAAAATTTAGCTGGAGAATCAAGCACAAGTATGTGAACATTGTATAATAGTATGCAATAAAATCTCAAGTTGTAAGTCTGTATAACCAACTGTTAACACTAGAAAGTATTCACTTTTTTCTGAGCATCAGTTTCCTTATTTGGAAAACAGAAGCAATAAAAAGAGTTTTCCATTTGTTGTGATAACTAAATAAAATAAGACTTGCTGAATGGCTCTGTAGTACTGGTAACTAGTACCAACCACAATTCAGATGCAAAGCAGATCAATTAGATAATAATGGCTACTATTCATAGAGGTCTTCTACCTGCCAGGATCTTTCTATAAAGTACCACATTTAAATTTCACAAACCCCAGCAAGACAATATTTCTATTATTTGCCAGATGCAGAAACCTGGGTTTAAAGAGCTTAAGTAATTTGACAAATGTCCCAAATGATAGTGACAACATAGAAAGCCAAGTTTATTCGATCTGAAACCTCATGTGCTTTCCCCTATGCAAAGTTATTGTCAGAAAAGTTGCTAGAGAAGCAATTAAACTTTACCTGGGTCCTAAAAGAAAAGACAGAATTTGAACAGACTGAAGAAGGAAGAGAGCAAATATCACAGCAGATTCTGAGGGGGTGCAGTGTTATGTGCAAGGGATGGAAAGTGTAGTGCTGTCATTACTAAAGGCTAGAAGCAAAACCTCGTCCATGACAGTTCTCATCAGCCCTAGCACAGAGAATGGGACAGAGTAGCTGGTGCAGGGACATCCATTCTCTACTTCTATTATTTCTGTATCAAGGATGCAGGAGAATTCTCTGACTGGTGAGCTTGCAAAAGGAACAAAGTGTGCGTTGTTCTAACCCCTCAAGTCTGGAGGAGCAGGCCTACCCTAGAAAGCCTGTGTTTTCTGCTTTTCCAGAAAATAACTGAAGTCAATTATATCCAAAGGGGTCCCTCTGCACCTCTGGCCCTCTATTAGCTGTGGTGGGTGGTTCCAGCTCCCCAAGGTTACAAAGCAGATTTTTCAATTTTGCTTGTGACTGACAGGTACTAAGAGAGCCATTTAACATGTCTTAGTTTATTTAATTCTGAGGTGAAGTATGAGCAGGTCCATTTTCCCCACAGATCTAAAGCCCTGGCCAATAGTCCAACTTTTACCTGGGACAAAGCTGAGATTTTGCTCTGCAACAGTCTGACTCCAGCTGCTACCTCAGTGGATTGTGAGCTTGCAGGGGGAATATGGCTGTTATCTGAGACCCATATTTAGGTTCCCTAAAACTACAATAGGCACTCAAGAAATCATGGTAGAAGGGTGCCCATGACAGGTTCAGAGGACAATGAGAGTACTGGCCTGATCTGAGCACAGGGAGTATATTAATAAGGTTAGGTGGATAGGGTGGCCCCAGTAATGGAAGACTTACAAAACAGGCCACATGTTTGTGTTTGATGTGGGAAGAAGAGTGCCAAAATTTTCTGAGCAGGGGTCAGAGCAGAGGAAGACTGTTTAAAGCAGGTAGTGAGAATACGGCAATGGGTTGCTGTGGAGACTAGGGAAGCAGAGCCTGGAGCTGGCAAACAGAGGTGGTTTCCAGAATTCCCAAGTGAGAGAGGATGGTCAGGCCTAGGGAAGTGTAAACATGAATGGTGATGACAGGATGCACATGAGCTCTCAAAGGGAAAACTACCAGCCTATGGTGACAACTGTGGTCTGGGAAACGGAGAAACATTTTTGTGGCACTACTCCAAAAGTGGTAGATGAGCAGGACCTGGTGGGAAGTGGGGCTCAGCCTTGCCTATGTTAAGTCTGAGGTGTCAAGTGGTATTTGTTCTCTGCACCAGGGGCACAGGATGCCGGGTAGGCAAGAGGCCCAAGCTGGGAGTTTGGGGAGTCAGCAGAGGAAGCACTGGTTTGAAGGCCTCTGGAAAGAAGTTGGTGGCTATGGGAAGCATGAACAATGGAAGCACTTGGGATGATAGGGTGGGAGCAGGGACAAGGTGAAGAGTGGGCAGTGGCAGGTGGGGGACATAGCTGGGGACACAGCTCGTGGAAGGGTGGGAAGGGCAGGGTGAGACAGCTGGCAAACGCTGGGGTCAGGATCTCCTCAGCAGAGGAGGGCACCCGGTACATTTCCCCCTAGAAAATCCAGTGGAACCTAAAACAGTCTTTTCTGGGTTGGCCCATCTTCCGATCCCTGCGCCCACTTCCTCGAGCTCTGGCTGCAGTGACGCCCTGGACCCCGGGTTTTGGGGAGGGGTCCCTCAGCACCTTCGGCCCTTTCTCTCTCAGCCTTAGGGGGCGGCTCCGGCTCCCCAGGCCCCAAGGTGCCTTTTCTTCCAGGTTCCCGCCCCGCTCCTGGCCGTCCCCCCACCAGCACCGCCCACCTGGCCACCACCGCAACCGCACCCGCCGCCCGCCGGCGCTGCCGCGCGCCCTCAGCCCCTCCTGCGGGTAGGGTTTCGCCTCCCCCGCGTCCACCGTTATTGCATCGTCCCCCGGGACACCGCGTCTCTGCCTCCGCCTCGCGGTCCTGGGGTCTGGAGGGGCGATCCGCGGGGAGAGGCTTCCGTGCGGCGCCAGGACGGGTGCGGGCTCCCCGGAGCAGGAGGCCGGGAGGAGGGACCCAGGCCCGGAGCCGCGGGGGCCGCTGCTGCAGAAGGGGGAGGAGAATGGGAGGAGCTGGGGGGCAGGCTGTCCGGGAAGGAGGGGTCTTAAGGGGCGGCGAGCCCAGGTCGGACTTCCTCCCAGGCCGGCGGTCAGCGGAGCTCCCACCTTCCTGCCGAGCTCGCCCCAGCCTCCGTGCCCCGCGCCCTCCTTTGACCGGGACGGGACCATGGTGAGAGCGGGGCGCGCGGCACGGGGCGGAGGGCAGTGGACCGGCCCCTCCGGCGGCTGCGGGTGGCCGGGCGGAGCGGGCGAGCCTCCGGGACCCGACGAAGTTCCCGGGGACCGCGCGGGGCCCAGAGCCTTCAGTCTCGCCCCTCTCTCTTCCGCAGATGTGGACACGCTGGCTCGCGCTCGCGCTGGTGGCCGTCGCCGGGGTCCGCGCCGAGGTGGGTGAGGGGCTCAGGAGGTCCCGGCTCGGGCCCGGGGCCACTCGGGTCTGCGCGTCGGGCGGCCGCTGCGTGCGTCCTGGGGATGCTCTCCCGGGTGCGGCTGGTGTTTCCGTGCGTGGGGTGAGGGGGGCGCCCCGAGTAGAATTGCTGCTTGCGAAACTTAAACCTTAAAATCGAAAAAGTAGTTCGGGCCGTGGGCGGGAGCTCCACGGCGGCGAGTCTGGAGGGAGCGTGGGGAGGGGGAGAGGGGACGAGCCGGGCGGGAGCCGGGCGGATGGGGACGGAGGCGGCGACCAGAGCAGCAGCCGAGCTCAAAAGGGCGCCCCGAGTTCCCTCCTTCAGTTGAAGATGAAATTGAGCATAGGGTGGGGACTTTCACCTTCCGAGTCTGTGTTTTAGGGGACAGGGGAAAAAAGATCTCAAGAGATTCTTCTTTAGGGTGGAATAAACTTTGTTTCTCTTCTATAAACTAAGATGATTATTCCTTGAAAATTTTTTTCTTTCTTTGTGAAGTCGGACTTTGTGTTATTATCAGGGCCACATCACGGCCTTTTAAAATCTCAGTTTTCCCACGAACTAGTGTTGCGCAAGTGTAAGAGATCCACTGCCTTACTCTTTGGGGGCTCCGCTTTTCCAAAGTATTTGGGCGCTTTTTTGTTCATGTTTTCTTTCCAACTCCAGTGACCTTGAGGCACTACAAACCAACGAACCCTTCCCTCACAAACCCTTCTGTTACCTTACAGTTTTATGGACAGAAAACAAACAATCCTAAGGTCCCTGGGCTCTAGTCTCCAGAAAAGTGAGGTCAGAAACCAAACGTTTGATAATTATGGCAGGAAATGTGGAAAGAATTAAAAAGCATGAGGGAGAAGAAAAGGAATGTACAATACAAAAGAAATAGCTCCCTGGTGGGTGGTGGTTCTCCCTCTTTGAATTTTTTCTCTGTATTACAGTTTAGCCCTACCCTTAACATCACAGCTTGACAGTCCAGAAAAATCGTAAAAGCATGCAAGGTCTTCACAATTAAAAAAAACAACACATTATACTGAACTCTAATCTAATTCACTACTATAGTATTGGTTCTGCTGGAAACATAAGGTGTGTTTACAATAAAGTAAAAAAATAGCAAATATTTTCTGATAGTCTACTTTGTGTTGTAATAAAACTGCATTTTAATCGTGGGGAAACTGAGTCAAACAGGTTACCGGAACTGTTAAGTGATCGCAATGGGATTTGAACCCAGATGTATAACATCACACCCCGGGCTCTTAATCAGTACCCCACACAAGGACTTCACATTCTCCATGTGCTTCTATAGCAGATGCTGGTCTGTCCACATCATTTCTTTTAAGGCTTCCCCAACTCTGTAAGGTCGGCTTTGTTATCCCCATTTTACAGAGGAAGAAATAGGTTTACAGAGATGAGGTAACCTGCTCAAGGCCACAGCTAGCTCTGAAGAAGGATCTGAACCCAGCTGTCCCTGTGGAACCCATCTCAAACTCTGGAGCTGCTTCTCATGTATTTTCTTTTCCAAGAGTTGGATTTGAGGGAGGATCCCTCTTCACTGGCTGGTGTAGCCCTGGCCAAGAAACTCTCTTCCATCCCTGCAGTGGCCCTCAAATGGCAGCTGCAGTCCAATGATGGATGAAGTGAATCCCTGGTTGGTTTTACTGCAGGCTGGGGAATTGCCAGCTAGTGTGTGAAATCGCTCTGTGAACTGGAATGCAAATGTGAGGGGAGGCTGTTGGTTCACTCACCACAGGCTGTATGGCCCAGGGTCCAGATCTGTTCTAGGCAGCCTGCACCACACCCACTCCCCTGGTGCATTGCAGGGACTGGCATAGCTCTCCTAGGAAGTTCCCCCAACAGCAGTTTCCTGCTTGATGGAAGAGCAGAGAGTACTCTCACAGAATTCCCAGGCAGGATCCATGGGGAAAGAGGCAAAATCAGGAAGTGCTGAGGCACGCAGTCTTGGGGAGCTGGTGCAGAAAGGAGGCTGTGACCTGCAGTGTGAGGAATAGGTGTGAACTGAGTTCTGGCTCCTGGCTCCATGGCTCCAGATGATTAAGAAGTATCTTTTAACCAATCCAGTCTCTTAATGTCTGGCCCTAGTAACATGGCACGTTTTTAATCCTTGTTTTAATAATATTCCTTTTATTATTAATGAAAAAGTAAATTAACCCTAGCAACTTCGATACTATTTTAAGCATTTTATCGTGTAGCTAATGATGCTTACAGTAGAGATTTTTTCCCTTGTTGGCTGTAACAGCATTACAGCAAACAAAGCTAGATAATATCTACAGACTTTATTGACATGAATCTGCTTTAGTAGACTTCCGGCTAAAATTATACAAATATTGTTGAACTTTAGAAATGAAATTTAGAAAATAAACTGACTTTTCTTAGTGCTTTTTGCTTTAATACAAGTACAAGGATTCAGTTCAGCATATTTTTTAAAATTGTGATGGCCCAGCAAATCATGCTGCTATTTGGAGAAGCCAAACCTTTGGAATAGGAGACCTTCAGAACTGGAGGTGCCCCAAACTTGGGAAAAGATGTTTGTCATCATTATTAATGCCAGTCTGTAAATCCTGTTTGGTTAGAGTCAAGAACCTATTAACACATCTCCTTAAGGACGTGTTATATTGTGAATGTTTTCCATAGTCTCTCACTTATTTGGCACCTCAGGGTTGCTTTTTTTTATTGCTTCCTCCCTTATTTTCTCTTTGTCTTAACACTCTGTCACCTATGTATTCCTTCGGGCAGCCCCCATCAAAATTCTGCATCATCCACCTGAGCTCACACCCCTGCACTCTTTAGAGTCTCTGCCTAAAAAAGGGATGTTGGGGTGTGGGGGGAGACACCGTTAGCATCTGGTATGGATGGGGAATGGGGGGCACAGCAGAAAGGGAGTGCTTCAACAATTACACAGCTACCCCTATTCTAGATTCTGTTGGAGGGGTTCGTGTGTGCCTTCTCACTGTCCCTCCCTCTCCCCCTTCTTCCACCCAAGGACAATTACCATGATTTGCTGAGAGGTGTGGATGGTGGGGGCTGGGAAAGGTGGAGAACCTAGGTGTTAGTGCATGTGCCCTTGAGTCTCAGTAGGTGGATCTGAGTTGACTCTAAACAGGGAAGGCTGGAGGGGACCCAGTGGCCCACATGCCTTCTTCCGAAGGACAGCCTTGGCAAGAGCCCAGGCTGGCACCCCCACTCTCTTGGCACCTCCACTCTCCCTTGGTGGTTGTCTCTGCTGACACTCTGATTCCCATATTCCGGGTCTATAAAATCGTCTTGGTAAGTCACGTGCATAGGGGACTGATTCACAAATTAAAGCACTCATTCCAGTGAGGGAGTAATTGACCCACGTCCTGTGAGCGCCATCGCTTGGGATAATGGCCACAGGAATAATAAATTACGCAGATAGACAACATTATTAGGGCATTGGCCCTCTGCAAGCTAGATTTCTTTTTTTTTGCTTTTTCTTAAGTGTATTTTTTAATTGAAGTGTACTTGATATACAATATTATATTGAGTTCAAGTGTACAACACAGTGGCTAAACAGTTACACATTATTAAATCCTCACCCCCACTAGTGCAATTATGATCTGTCAACACAAAAGATGTTACAATCATTGGCTATATCCTCCATGCTGCCCTACCATCTCTGTGACCAACTTACTTTATGACTGAGAATTTTTATGCCTCTTTATCCTCTTCACCCACCCCACTCCCTCTCCCATGGTAAACACCAGTCACTTCTCAGTGTCTGCGAGTCTACTGCTGTTTTGTTCATTTTGTTTGTTTTGCTTTTAGGCTCCACATTTAAGTGAAATCATATGTATTTGAAAGCCAGATTGCTTAATCTCATTTTCACCCTTTTATCAGCATACAGTTAATCAGTCACTAGAGGTTTTATTGGCTGATGTGGGATCTCCTCTATGTGGTGGATTCAGACAGACCTAGGGTCTGACCCACATCCTGTGACTGCTTCTTAGAGCTGCAGCAAAACTAGGATTTTAATATCCATCTTGCACATTAACCACTAAAATAATCTCTTGTTTGTTTATCAGTTGGCAAATGAACTACTTGACATGATTCTTAAAAACCATCGTAGGAAATTGGGGTGTGAAAATATAGCAGGAACTCTGCTGAACAGCCAAAACAGATGGGCACATTGAGGCCCTGGTCACTAAAAATGTCTTTAGAAGGGAGACATGTTACAACAATGCCCATAGACAGCTCTGGATTGGTGATAAGCAGGAGTCAATTCCCAGACTCAGGGGAATAGTTGGGGAGGAGCTGTGGTCTGCGATCGGGTGCATGAGCTATGGTGCTTATAATGTCCCAGAGAAGCAAATAAAGTCTTCAAAGTCAGTGAGGCAGAAAGACATGTGTTTACAGGAGAACAGAGAAAATGAAGGATGAGCCATAAATACCAGTGGTCACACATGGAGAATTGAGATGTCAGTGTCTTGTTCCTACTGCTCCAAATAACTGGACATCCAGACAGAAAAGTTCTGGCAGGTACAAACAGTATTAGCTTAGACACCAGATAGTGCAAGATTGAAAAATAACATACTTACATGGGTACATTTTGTAAGTCTGATTCCTGTCCTACAGGTCAAATGCATCCTCTTCTGTAAGGTGCTGTCTTCTGGTGCCTATGATCTTGATGCGGGTTCTTTCTCCAGGAGTGAGTCATTCCCTGCATGGGTCTTCCCTTCGTGAGGCCCATCAGGCAGTGTTCTCTGCTGCAGGCTGAGTATTTCCTACACACGGGGCAGGTTCATGCATGAAGAGCAAGACATGGTCTCTGCCTGCAGGTTGCTTACAATTTAATGGTGGGCTTGGTGCTTCAAACTGTGGCTGCTATAATGTATATTATAAGTACATGATGAACAAGTATCTTTACAATTACTATTGCTGCTTTTTTTTATGTTAAAGTTTTCCTTGATTTTTAAAGCTCTTTTTGTAAGTATAATGCACAAAGCTTA